TAAATATATAAATGGCAGGGAGCAAAGTCGAAGGTATGTTCAGTTTGAAACGAAGATTCAAAAAGCGCACAACAAAAGTCAACGTAACAGTTAAAACATACAAATAAATAAAAATCTGCCATTGTTCATTGAAGGAATTTTTGTAAATATACTTGTGAAGAGCAAATAATACAATAAAATGTCGCTAATCCCATTGCTACGTGAACTTGATGACACATTCAGCGAAGTGGAAGATTTCTTGGAGGCACCATTTGGCCTTGGGATACACCCTGTGGACATCTTTAGACCACGTCGTCATCGTTCCTTAATGCTGCATCCTCGTGGCAGCTATTGTCCATATTTAGCCAGATATGGCCGCCAACGTAAAGAGTCGTCTGCTGAAAGGTCAGAACTAGTTCCAACGGTTGGCAAAGATGGTTTCCAAGTGTGCATGGATGTTTCGCAATTTAAACCCAGCGAGTTAACGGTGAAAACTGTGGACCGAACGGTTGTAGTCGAGGGAAAACATGAGGAACGTGAAGATGAACATGGATACATTCAACGGCATTTCATACGTAAATACACATTGCCCAAAGGTTACGATCCCAAAGACGTGGTATCCACAATATCATCGGATGGCGTATTGACCGTTAAAGCACCGCCACCACCGGCTATCAAGGACAAGGAAAGTAATGAACGTATTATTCAAATTCAGCAAACCGGTCCAGCTCATTTGAATGTTAAGCAGCCAGAGCAGATCAAGAATGCTGCAGAAGATGGTGCTAAAGATAAAGACAAATGAAACTAAAATGGAGTATTCCTATACCTCAAACGAGGTATATTCCTCCACATTGACTGATTAGATTTAATTTCATTCAACCAACATTCGATGTATTCCATATTTTTCAACCACATTTTAGTTTTAAACAAAGTCCTGTGTTAATTTTATAAACTACTTTTAAATATAAATAAAAACCAAATATTAAAATACCTCAAAATGCAATGTATTTTATTTTTATTGTTAACATTTCAATTTTGGACAGAGTATGTGTTCATAATGATTCGGACCGAATATTAGTACTTGGCGATTTTAATATGCCATCCGTGAAGTGGCTTTCACTGCCAGATTCAGCTCTTACTCCTTTGACATCTGATATGAATTTAAATAATGGGTCGATTATGGAAAGCAACCAAACTCCAGTTGCGAGTTCAACTGGCAACGCAATTGAAATAAAACTTAACATTATGGCAATGGTGGGCAATATTTCTCTTAAAAATGTTTAAGGAAAAATAAAAACGAGAATTTTTCTTCGGAATTTCTTAAATTTAATATTTTTATAGCCTAGAAAGACGACACCCTTAATTTGCATTAACAGCCTTAATTCAAATTAACTTGTACAATAAGTGGGCCACACACCTCAAACATGTGCGTTCGATCGGTGTGAAGCTCCTAGCCCACACACCTCAAACGGATCCATTAAACTTCATTTCATATTTATTGTTGAAGCGGACCGCGATAGTGATGACGGAAAAAAGAAGAAATATTTTTATTTAACATAAATGTATTAAATACTTTTATTTTATTCCGGAAAAAAACATTTTTATTTGCCACACAGTAGAATATGTGTAAAAACATCAAAAAATCTTCCAAATAAATATGTATTGCATTTGTCCGCTGATCCGCACTCCACGTAATCTCTCAACAAATGAGAAAATATCCACACACCAGGCCACAGACGTCAAACATGTGCGCGTCGCACAACGAAAAATTATAAATTTTTCATTTCTTTCGATCGGTGTGAACGCCGTACCACACACGTCAAACATTGATTCGATTCACACCGATCGAACGCACACTTTTGACGTGTGTGGGTCACTTTATCCTTATTTTTTATGTGTTGTTAATGAACAAAATCAAACTGAATTTATACTGAATTAGACAATTTCAATTTATATTTATGAAAGTAAAAATAAGAAATGAAGGCAAATTTCAACCATTTCTTAAATTGGGAGCTGTTTTGCTATGATCATAGTTGCTATTTCTCCTATATGTGATGTATCTATTTCCTAAAGATGTAATCCCGAAAAATATCGAAGCAAATGTAAAAATATCAGCCTACACACAGACAAACAATTGTTTTGAAGCAAAAAACTGTTGCGTAAATGCAGAAACTCTCGTCTGTCAGGGGTAAATATTAATTTAAATTAAGGAATTTTTAATGCAAATTACAAAAATTTCGGATAAAATTTCATTAATGTAAATTTTTTTTTAACATCAAAAAATGTTGAGAGAACGCATCAACGCTGGTGTTTTCTCAGTTGCTGTCGATAATACTGTTTTGACATTTCTACAACTAGAAATATTTTAAATAAACAAAACAATGAAAACATATTTCAGAAAAACTAATTATATGTGATGATAAGCTCAGTGAAACTATTTTTTGATGATGAATATTATGTTCAATGTGTGTCATTTATTAGAAGGCATTTAAGAGATACATCTACTCAGTTCTGTGAGTAGATGCTGACGTTTAGAGAAATGGTCAATAAACTGCTCATATTAACTTGAAGGCGTATTTTCGACCTTAAACCCTGATTTCCGAAAAGCCTGGCGGTCAACAGCAATTCCTCCTCTCTTAAAAATGTGTGCAGCTCTGATGTTTGTGGAAAGAAGTTTTCAAAAGTCCCATAGCAATGACTTCAACCTTGGCATGAATCAACCGACAATGTCGGTAGTTTTCGCCGAAGTTATCCGGCTAATAGAGGAACAACTGTGTAAAATTTGGATTGTATTCAAATTAACGGAGGAGGAAAAAGGGAAGAATACAATTATTTTATTCGAAAACAAAGTTCCAGGGTGTTGTCGGATGTATTGATGATATACACGTAAATATTATGGACCCAAAAGAAGATGCTCACCTCTTTCTGCCATTCATTTGGAATGCGTGTTGGTGGGCCATAGCAGTTAAGGTCTTCTGAAATGGCTTTCCACACATAATCGATAGTGGCTTTGGTTTTACCAAAAGTCCGCACGCCGCGTGCTACATTTGGGTGAGCTTTCGGGCAATAAGGACCTCAAATTGTTCTTTTGTAGTAATATTAACCATTATGGGAAGCCTACAAAGTTCAGTTATTATTAACAGCAACCAGAAATAAATGGTTGCCGAAAAATTCTATTTGAAGCAACTGAAGTTGACAACAGTTGCCATCCATAATGCAAATTTGGCAACTGGCAACGCAACTAAACTATGGTTGCCATCCTTAACCGACCCATAAATTTACTTCTGAAATTATTATTCAATTTTGTGCCATTAATCTCCAACAAAATAAAGTAAATAATCATGAGAAAATCCTTGATCTAGTTTTTTAAATCATACACCATATAAGATAATTATCACCCTACTTTATCAGCCTTATTCTGGATGTCAATTCCACGTGAATTTACTCGCTCTTCCTCTTCGACTTATTCTGAACAATATTTTCTTGTGAATTTTTTCGCATTCTCGCTTTCGCCTTATTCTGAATGAAGTTCGAAAGCAAAAAAATCCGCTTTGGGGAAAAATTAGGTATTCTGGATTACATGGAGTAGGAGAATGAGATGAAATTTTGTGCGAAATTTTTCGCAATAGATTCAAGAGCTGACTACAAAAACATAAGTAGTACATATTTTGACGATTGAGAATATTATAAATGATAGTAAGCAAATTTTTAATTGGAAAACGACAAATAATTTTATTTTGTAAATTCACGTTGAATTGACATCCAGAATAAGCCTGGAAATTTTTTTTACATGCGAGATATCTCCCAACGAATATCCAGAATAAGGCTGAATATTCTTTTATATAGAAAAACATGAATACACTCGACTCTCACTATGAAAATGTAAGTGTAAAGAATTCACTTCAAACGCATGTAAAGTGTGTCACAGAACAGCTCGACGTGTGTTCGATTCACTTCAACCGTTGAAGTGAATGCCAGAACATGCCCGAATATAAAATTGCGTTCTAAAAATACATTTTTTGCGATTTTGTAACAGAGTAAAGAAAAAATCTATTACAAATTAGCGTAGTTGTAAATTTTACTACCGTAATAACGGTGTATATAACAGTTATTTGTTAAAAGTCAATCTTCTGAACGCGTACTCTGTCCAAAATTGAAATGTTAACAATAAAAATAAAATACATTGCATTTTGAGGTATTTTAATATTTGGTTTTTATTTATATTTAAAAGTAGTTTATAAAATTAACACAGGACTTTGTTTAAAACTAAAATGTGGTTGAAAAATATGGAATACATCGAATGTTGGTTGAATGAAATTAAATCTAATCAGTCAATGTGGAGGAATATACCTCGTTTGAGGTATAGGAATCATCCATTTTAGTTTCATTTGTCTTTATCTTTAGCACCATCTTCTGCAGCATTCTTGATCTGCTCTGGCTGCTTAACATTCAAATGAGCTGGACCGGTTTGCTGAATTTGAATAATACGTTCATTACTTTCCTTGTCCTTGATAGCCGGTGGTGGCGGTGCTTTAACGGTCAATACGCCATCCGATGATATTGTGGATACCACGTCTTTGGGATCGTAACCTTTGGGCAATGTGTATTTACGTATGAAATGCCGTTGAATGTATCCATGTTCATCTTCACGTTCCTCATGTTTTCCCTCGACTACAACCGTTCGGTCCACAGTTTTCACCGTTAACTCGCTGGGTTTAAATTGCGAAACATCCATGCACACTTGGAAACCATCTTTGCCAACCGTTGGAACTAGTTCTGACCTTTCAGCAGACGACTCTTTACGTTGGCGGCCATATCTGGCTAAATATGGACAATAGCTGCCACGAGGATGCAGCATTAAGGAACGATGACGACGTGGTCTAAAGATGTCCACAGGGTGTATCCCAAGGCCAAATGGTGCCTCCAAGAAATCTTCCACTTCGCTGAATGTGTCATCAAGTTCTCGTAGCAATGGGATTAGCGACATTTTATTGTATTATTTGCTCTTCACAAGTATATTTACAAAAATTCCTTCAATGAACAATGACAGATTTTTATTTATTTGTATGTTTTAACTGTTACGTTGACTTTTGTTGTGCGCTTTTTGAATCTTCGTTTCAAACTGAACATACCTTCGACATTGCTCCCTGCCATTTATATATTTATTACCAGAGAGAGCGATTGCTCTAGAATTCTCTTAGATTTCGTTTCTAGAAAATTCAACAGTACATGAGAGAATTTTTTAAAGAGAGTTGACAAGACCCAAAGAGAAATGTGGAAAGACATTTTTTGAGACCGGCGATTTTGTTTTGTTTTTTTCTTTTTTTGTGGGGCACACAACTCAAACATTTGTGCGAATGTTTTGTTGTGTGTGCAAGCTGGCTGGATTGTTTGTTTTCAATTCAATTGTTTTTGTATTAACGTCTGGGAGCCGTAAAATGAAATTGCATGCTGCTTATCGTATAATTGTGGATATGTATTGCTAATTAAATGCATTGTTCTGTACCCGAAATAATATTAAATATATATGGAACATTCTGGAATTCAGACAGCTTTGTAAAAATGATGCAGTAATTTGTCGAGAACCGCATATCCAATAATCAATGAATGAACATGTTATACAGTCAGTGACGTTGAACAAGCATTTCAACACGTTCGGTTATATGCCTTGTTTATCAATATTGTAAAATGTCGATACTGCGGATTATCCGGTAATCTCGACTGCATTTCACAAATCGTTGTGTATGTGTTCTATAATCCGGATTGTTTGACTATATTCGAATCCAAAATCCGGATTATGAA